ATTTGCAAATCAATGTGATAAATCACATCAACAAGACGAAGAATAAAAATCATGATCATAAAAAAAAATCATGTCCATTACAGTAAATGCAAAAAAAGCATTTGACAAAGTAAAAATCCATTCAAGATAAAAACGCTTAACAAAGCAGATTTAGAGGAAACATACCTCAATAATAGATACATATTTGAAAAACAGCTAACATACGCAATGGTGAAAAACTGAGAGCACTTCCCCTAAGGTAAGGAACAAGACAAGGATGTCCGTCCACTCTCACCACTCTTATTCAACATAGTACTGAAGTCCTAGCTACAGCAATCAGACAATAAAAGGCATCCAAATTGGTAAGGAAGAAGTAAAACTGTCAGATGACATACTATATACAGAAAATCCGAATGACTCCACCAAAAAACTACTAGAATTGATAAACGAATTGAGTAAAATCATAGGATACAAAATCAATATACAGAAATACTGCATTTCTATACCTTTAATAATGAAGTAGCAGAAAACCATCAACAAAACTAAAAGACAACCCACTGAATGGGAGAAGATATTTGCAAAAAATATACCTGATAAGGGCTTAATATCCAAAATAGATAAAGAATATATATAACTCAACACCAAAAAAGACAACAAAAAATCCAATTTAAAAGGGCATAAGACATAGACATTTATCCAAAGAAGACATACAGATGGCCAAGAGAACATGAAAGATGCTCATCATTCATCATGAGAGAAATGGAAATCAAAACTACCGTACCACCTCGTACCTTTCCAAATGGCTCAAATCACACAGAAACAAGCGCTGGCAAGGTGCGGAGAAGAGGGAACCCTCCGACACTGTTGGTAGGAATGCAGATTGGTGCAGCCACTATGGAAAACAGTACGGAGGTTCCTCAAAAAATTAAAAATAGAACTACCATATGATCCAGTAATTCCACTGCTGGCTATTTACCCAAAGAAAACAAAACACTAATCCAAAAAGATATACACACCCCTATGTTTACTGCAGCATTATTTACAATAGCCAAAATATGAAAGCAACCCAACTGTCCATCCATAGGTGGATGGATAAAGAAGATGTGGCATACACACACACACACACACACACACACAGGAGTATTACTCGGCCATAAAAAAGAATATAATCTTGCCATCTGCAACATAAATGAATCCAGAGAATATAAAGCTAAGTGAAATATAGTCAGAGAAACACATAAACCGTATGACTTTGCTATATGAATTTAAGAAATAAAGAAAAAAAGAGATAAAAAGACTCAAATATAGAGAACTGGTGGTTGCCAGAGGGGAGGTCGGTGGGCGGATGGGTGAAATAGGTGAATAATGTACAGAATTGCTGAATCACTGTATTGTACACCTGAAACTACTGTAACACAGTGTGTTAATTTTACCTGAACTAAAAAATAAGAATTTTAAGAAGCTTTTTATATATTAGTAAGTTAGCCCTTATCTATGAGGTAAATTGCAAATATTATTCCAAATGCATTATCTGTCTTGTTGTGCTTATATTTTTTGCCATACCATTATTTTTAAATCATTTGCATTTCTTTTTTTTTTTTTTAAAGATTTTATTTTTTTATTTGAGAGAGAGAGAGAAAGTGCCCGGGGCGGGGGGGGGGGGGGGAAGGGTGGAGAAGAGTAAGAAGCAGGGTCCCCGCTAAGTGGAGAGCTGGATGTTGGACTCAATCCCAGGACCCCAGGATCATGACCCAAGCGGAAGGCAGACACTTACTTGACTGAGCCACCCAGGTGCCCCTGCCCTACAGTTTTTAATGCAAATTTCTTAATCACTTCTCTTACTGCTTTTGGTTTGAGTAGTAACTGGAAAGTCCTTACCCATACCCAAATTATGAAAGAATGCTCTTTTTATTCTAGTAATTGTGTGGTTTGGTTTCTTCTATTTAGATTTCTAACATATTTGGAATTTCTTTTGGTTTATGTTGTCAAGTATGGACTCAATTTTATCTTTTATCCAAATGGTTATCACTGTCACAATGACATTTATTAAAGAATTAATCTTTTCCCCAGTGATTTCTTATGCCATATTAGGTATACACTATCCAAATATACTTCAGTCCATTTCTGGATCTTATACTTCATTCCCTTTGTCTATTCATGCTCTAACTTTACAATGTTACAATCACCTAGGATCTAGAATATGTTAGCAAAACCTCCTTCACTGCCAGTCCTTTCCAAGATTCCCAGCTTTTTAATTGTTAAATTTTTTGCAAATTCAGCTTTTATCTCCAGCATGAAACCTTGTTTGCTTATTTGGGGAATTATTTTGAAGTTCTGTATCAACTTAGAAAGAATTTATATCTTTATGACAGCATTTGACCAAGTCTATTTTGTGACTAGTATAAAATTTTTTTCTTACAGCTTTTCACATTCTACTTTTAAGTATTTTATCTTTTCAAAAAATATGCTGAGGGGCGCCTGGGTGGCTCAGTCGTTAAGCGTCTGCCTTCGGCTCAGGTCATGATCCCAGGGTCCTGGGATCGAGCCCCGCATCGGGCTCCCTGCTCTGCAGGAGGCCTGCTTCTCCCTCTCCCACTCCCCCGCTTGTGTTCCCTCTCTCGCTGTCTCTGTCAAATAAATAAATAAAATCCTAAAAAAAATAAATAAAATAAAAAAGACCTGTGAAAATAGTTTATTGCTAAAATTTCCTCTTTCACAGTTATTTCTCCTGATCACTTTTTACATCTTTCTTAATTTTTTTCTGGATTTGCGGTGAGTGGTTTGACTATTTTGGTTTTTATCGCACTACATTTATTTACTTATTCACTTACATAGTTTTGGGCACCTGGGTGGCACAGATAGTTATTTACTTATTCACTTACATAGTTTTCATTTCTCTTTTAAGCTTTATTAATTTTGGAATTTAGTTTTATAATTTATTCCCTTCTGCTTTGTTTTGATTTACTTTGTTAGTTTTTTTTTTTTTCCTTCTGAGTTGAAAATTTAATTCTCTCTTATAGTCTGAAGAATTTAAGGCTAGGGATGCCTGGGTGGCTCAGTCAGTTAAGCGTCTGCCTTCGGCTCAGGTCATGATCCCGAGGTCCTGGGATCAAGTCCTGCTTCAGGCTCCTTGCTCGGCAGGAAGCCTGCTTCTCCCTCTGCCTGCCACTCTCCCTGCTTGTGCGCTCTCTCTCTCTCCCTCTCTGATAAATACATAAAAGATTTAAAAAAAAAAAGAATTTAAGGCTATAAAATTTCACTTAATTGCTTTAAGTGTATACTGTTGTTTGATATATTGTGCTTTATCAATTTTCTTTTAAAATTTGCAGTATCATTTTGCATTTTCTTTGAACAAGTTTACTTTTGATAGCTTTTTAAATTCCAAGTGTATGTCATTTGAAAAATTAATTTCTAGTTTTGCTCCATTGTGATAAAAGAATATTGTCCTATTTTTACTTTAAGGAAATTTTTTTCTTTGAAATCTGTATTATTAGTTTTATGAATGTTTCACATGTGCTTGAGAAGATGGTATTATCTTCCTACCAGAGTGTTAAAAATCAAGATTTGTGCATAAAATCGACCTTATGTTTGCTGTTTTAGATCCTTATTTTTTGGTCCTGTGAACTGATAGCTGATGTTTAGTCTCCCTATCTACAATTAGGCGGTCTTTCCACTTAAGGTTTACATTTTTCTGGAGTGTTCATATTTTTTCTAAAATAGGTCTTGCTTATTTTATGTCGTTTATTTCCAATTCTTATTAGTGTCTACTGTAAAGTGGGAAAGGGGGTCTTTACTTCCATTACATCCTTAACTATTGTTTTAATAATGCCATTAGTGGGGCGCCTGGGTGGCTCAGTTGGTTAAGCGACTGCCTTCGGCTCAGGTCATGATCCTGGAGTCCCTGGATTGAGTCCCTGGATCGAGTCCCGCATCGGGCTCCCTGCTCGGCAGGGAGTCTGCTTCTCCCTCTGACCCTCCCCCCTCTCATGCTCTATCTCATTCTCTCTCTCAAATAAATAAATAAAATCTTAAAAAAAAAATGCCATTAGTGTACTTTTATCCCCAGCTATCCTACTGAATTCTATTATTTATAATCACATGAAGAATGATGATGGTGAAATAAACGGAAAATAAATCTTCATAGAAACGTCTTAAGTGATCTGTGATCACAGTAAACTAGTCCAGCCTCCATGTCCCATTGTATTCAGCCTTAAATTCTATTTTAAGCCAATGTCTTCTCACAAAATGAGCACAAACACTCTATGACTTAGACATTTGCTGCATTCCTCAATTCTGAGCTCTTCAGGACATTGCTGGTAAACTTTACTGCTTCACTTTGGCCCAAAGCTGGCAAATTTGGGCCAATCGCCCCGAGTCCCCAACTATCCACCAAAGAAGAGAGTGAACATCTTCCCTCACAGATTTGGCAAACATAGGCAGCCAGTAGCAAAATATTCTTTCTTGTTTAAAAACAAATTCGGATCTTGCCTGCATACCGAAATAAACGTCTGTTTCGATCCGTTTTAAGTAATTTCTGACTCTCCACATGTGAAATACACTGATGTTCTGACTGACCAAAGAAGAACGTCTGCGGTTTAGGGCTCTCACTCCCAAACCTCCTCTCCCATGTGACACACCTCCTTTGAGTCACAGCACCCATCTTGGATCCTTGTAGATTCCTACTCAGCCAGCATCCCAAACACTCTCTCACCGGCAAACACACCGAAGCTTCCCTCAGCCCAATCCTACCCCAACTACATATTCCTACTGGCCCAAGCTCAGGACACAGCCACTCACCTCCCCGGCTCGCAGATGCCGCCCCTTCACCCACCCAACACCCACGTCCCCGTTCCACCCAATACTAGCCGCCACCGAGAACGCCTGAATCATGCGCACTTTTGTCTGAACTCGGACAGCTGGGAGCTGGGCCAGAACTCTCAGGATTCCGCAGGGGCGACCAGGCCGAGTTTCGGCGTCCCCCACCCCCAGGCCAGACACTGAGAGGCAGGACGACCACCTACCTTGTGGGCCCAGCAGCTCTTTTGCGCGACATTTCCCGAGTCCCAGGCGCCCGAGCTGAGCGCTTCCCTCGTCCGTCCCGCCGCTTTTAAGGCTCTGCGTGACGTTGCCCAAGTGCCTCTGCTCCGGTGCCCAGAGTCTCTCTCGTTCATCACGCTGCTTTTACGGCTCTGCGCGACATTTCCCAGGAGTCCCTGCCGCCCCAGCCGAGAGCCTCCCTCGTCCAGCCCGCTGCTTTTACGGCTCTGCGCGACATTTCCCAGGAGTCCCTGCCGCCCCAGCCGAGGGCCTCCCTCGTCCAGCCCGCTGCTTTTACGGCTCTGCGCGACATTTCCGCGGTGTTTGCGGCGTGAGCAGCCGCGCGACGTCTGGCGCCCTGGGGCGTGGGCCGGCCTGGAAAGACGCTTCCAGCGCCGTCTGTGTGTGCGGCCAGGCGTGGCTGCCGCATCTGAGAGTAGGCGTGGTGCCGGCAGGGCTGCGGGCGCCGGCCTCCGTGTCTGAGCCACTGAGCCGGCGCCGCGCCGCTTTTCTCACAGGCTCTGCATCGCAACTGCAGTTACCCCGGGGTTTTGGCGCTTCTTTTGCGGTTGGCAGGAGAATTCGGCCTCTGTGAGCTCGGGGTTCTGGGGCACAAGCGCGTCAGATCCGCAGGGCGGTGTGGGTCGTTCCTGACTGCGCCCAGAGCACGCTGAAAGCGGGGGCTTCCCAAATCCGGGGCAGGGCGACCCGGTAGGCGCCTCAGGACTGCGAGCGGGCAGTGGCGGAGGCGTGAGGGAGGTGTGCGCTTGCGTGTACGGCGCCGCTGTGACCCCCCCACCGCCCCTGCGGGCGGGGGGCGGTGCCTGTGCCTTCCGCCCCGCGGCCTGGCTGCTGCCTCCCCGCCGCGCACCTGCGATGCGTGGAGTTGGCGAGAAGGTCCTGCGTGTGAGTACGTGGTTGCGCGTTGGTAGGGCCTGGAGCTGAGGGTAGTTTAAATTCGGTCCGTCTGGACTCCAAGAAAATCCTGGCCTCTCGTGAATCTTCTCCACCGTCTCGGTTCTGCCCTTCTCCAAGAGGTGCATGTCTGAGAACCACTTAGAGGTACCTTGGTGTTTCTTTTTCGTTTTCTTTTTGTGGAAATTCGTTTTTCCCTCAGCTTTGATTTCCTTGCCTCCTGATTTGATGCCTGACCTAGGCGCATCAAGTGGCCCGTTTCTTGTACTTACCATTTGAGAAAATGTTGGGGTGGGGTGTACATGTTAAAGAGCCCGGTGTGTCTTGCCGTCCCCCTAACCAACTGTTAGTAGTTTGACAAATGTTTCACTTTTCTCCTGTGTTGTCTTTTTATTTTATTTAATGTATTTTTTCTGCTTATAAAATTACAGATCAGTTTGGAGAATTTGGAAAATATACAAAGTAACAATAAAAAAAATCAAGTTTAAGAAATATAAAGAGAACACTCAGGTAACCACCCAGGTCACAACATAGAACATTGCAAGCGCTTCAGTAACATCCTAATCAAAATCAAAATCACCCTTCCTGTCCACCCCTAACTTTTATGATAATCAGTTTTTTCATTATAGTTTACCTACCTAATTATGCATCAGTAAATGATAAGTGTACTTTTTAACTTTATGTGACTTTCTGTATTATTTTTTTAACACTCTAATATGAAATTTGCCTGTATTGTATATTTTTTCATAACGTTTGATAGTGTATCCTTATATAAATAGGTTAACGTAATGTTCATTATGTCATTGGTGGTTAGTTTGATACTTTTCAATTTTGGGCCATTACAGTGCTGCTGGAGCATATATGTGCATAACTACTGGAATGCAGGTAAGCACATTTCTCTAGGATACAGGCATACTGTGAAGATACTGCAGGTTTGGTTCCAGGCCACCACTATAAAGCACGTATCACAATAAAGTGAATCAGATTAATTTTTTGGTTTCCCAATACGTACAAAAGTTATGTTTACACTATACTGTAGCCTATTAAGTGTGCAGTATTACGGCTGGAAAAAAAAAACAATGTATATGCATTAATTTAAAAATATTTGGGTGAGGGGCGCCTGGGTGGTTCAGTCATTAAGCGTCTGCCTTCAGCTCAGGTCATGATCCTAGGGTCCTGGGATCAAGTCCCGCATCAGGCTCCCTGCTTGGCAGAGAGCCTGCTTCTCCCTCTCCCACTCCCCCTGCTTGTGTTCCCTCTCTGTCTCTCTCTCTCTCTGTCAAATAAATAAATAAAATCTTTAAAAAAAAATATTTGGTTGATTAAAAAATGTTAACCATTGGGCACCTGGGTGGCTCAGATGGTTAAGCCTCTGCCTTCGGCTCAGGTCGTGATTCCAGGGTCCTGGGATCAAGCCCCGCATTGGGCTCCCTGCTCCGCAGGAAGCCTGCTTCTCCCTCTCCCACTCCCCCTGCTTGTGTTCCCTCTGTCTCTCTCTCTCTGTGTCAAATAAATAAAATCTTTAAAAAAAAATACTTGGTTGATTAAAAAATGTTAACCATTGGGCGCCTGGGTGGCTCAGATGGTTAAGCCTCTGCCTTCGGCTCAGGTCATGATCCCAGGGTCCTGGGATCGAGTCCCACATCTGGCTCCCTGCTCAGCAGAGAGCCTGCTTCTCCCTCTCCCTCTGCAACTCCCCCTGCTTATGCTCTCTCTCTCTCTCTGTATCTGTCTCGAATAAAAAAAATCTTAAAAATAAATAAATAAAATAAAAAATGTTAACCATTATCTGACCTTTCAGTGAATTGTAATCTTTTTGCTGTTGGACGGTCTTGCCTCAGGGCCGCTGACTGATTAGGGTGGTAGTTGTGAAAGTTGGGGTGGCTGTGATTATTTCTTAAAATAAGACATTGAAGTTCACTGCATCAACTGACTCTCCCTTCCACAAAAAATTTCTCCGTAGCATGTGATGCTTTTTTATAGCATTTTATCCACAGTAGAACTTATTTCAAAACTGGAGTCCATCCTCTCAAACCCTGCTGCTGCTTTACAACTAGGTTCATGTGATATTCTAAATCCTTTGTTATCATTTCAACAATCTTCACAGCATCTTTGCCAGGTGTAGATTCCATCTCAAGAAACCTCTTTCTTTGCTCATCCATAAGAAGCAACTCCTCATCTGTTCAGGTTTTTTTTGTTTTTTATTTTATTTTATTTATGTATTTGACAGAGACACAGCGAGAGAGGGAACACAAGCAGGGGGAGTGGGAGAGGAAGAAGCAGGCTCCCCGCAGAGCAGGGAGCCCGATGTGGGACTCGATCCCAGGACCCTAGGATCATGACCTGAGCCGAAGGCAGTCGCTCAACCGACTGAGCCACCCAGGCGCCCTCATCTGTTCAGGTTTTATCACGAGATTGTAGCAGTTCAGTCCCATCTTCAGGCCACACTTCTAGTTCTCTTGCTGTTTCCACCACATCTGCATTGACTTCCTCCACTGAAGTCTTAAACCCCTCAAAGCCACCCATGAAGGCTGGAATCAACTTCCAAACTCCTGTTCCTGTTGATAGTTTGACGTCTTCCCATGAATCATAAATGTTCTTTTTTTTTTTTTTTAAGATTTTATTTATTTGAGTGAAAGAGAGAGATCATGAGCAGGGGGTAAGGGTAGAGGGAGAAGCAGACTCCCTGCTGCGCTGAGAACCTGAGGTGGGACTCAATCCCAGGACCCCGGGATCATGACCTGAGCTGAAGGCAGACACTTAAACAACTGAGCCACCCAGGTGCCTGAATCATAAATGTTCTTAATGGCATCTGGGATGGTGAAGCCCTCCCAGGTCTTTGATTTACTCTGCCCAGATTAATCAGAGGAATCACTATCTATGGCAGCTATAGTCTTAACTAAAAATTTCTTTCTTTTTTTTTTTTTTAAGATTTTATTTATTTGACAGCACAAGCAGGGAGAGCAGGGAGCTGAGCAGGGAGTCCAGTGCGGGGCTCAATCCCAGGACCACAGCATAATGACCTGAGCCGAAGGCAGAGTCTCAACTGACTAAGGCACCCAGGCACCCCAAGGTATTTCTTAAATAATGAGACTTGAAGGTCAGAATACCCCTCGATCCATGGGCTGCAGGATGTGTTAGCAGGCATGAAAGCAACATTAATCTTGTCCATCTCCATTAGAACTCTTGGGTGACCAGGTACATTGTGAACGACTGGTTCTATTTTGAAAGGAATCCTTTTTTTCCAAGTGGTATGTCTCAATCTTGAGCTTAAAATATTCAATAAATCCCATTGTAACAGATGAGCTGTCATCTAGGCTTTGTTCCATTTATAGAGCACAGACAGTAGATTTAGCATGATTCTTAAGGACCCTAGGATTTTTGGAATTGGCAACGAGCATTGACTTCCACTTCAAGTCATCAGCTGAATTAGCCTCTCTTGAGAAAGTCAGCCTGTCCTTTGAACCTTTGAAGTCAAGCATTGACTTCATGAATTCTCTTAGCTAGATCTTCGGGATCACTTGCTACACCTTCCCCGTCAGCACTCGCTGCTTCACCTTGCACTTGTACGCTTTGGAGACCTCTTTCCTAAGCCTTGCCAACTTCTGCCAGCTCCCAACTTTTCTTCTGCAGCTTCCTCACCTCCTCAGCCTGCACAGAACTGAAGAGTCAGGGCCTTGCTCTGGGTGAGGCACTGGCCGAAGGGAATGTTGTGGCTGGTCTGAGCTTCCATCCACACCAGTCAGACTCTCCATGTCAGCAGGGAGGCTGTTTCATTTTCTTCTCATGCGAGTGTTCACTGGGGAAGCACCTGTGATGTCCTTCGAGAACGTTTCCTTTGCATTCATAACTGGGCTAATTGTTTGGCACAAGAGGCCTAGCTTTCGGCCTGTCTTGGGATTCGACGGGCGTTCCTCACGAAGCTTAATCATCTCTAGTTGCGATGGAAAGTGAGAGATGTGTGACTCTTCCTTTCACTTGAACACTTAGAGGCCATGGTAGGGTTATCAGTTGTGCTAATGTCAATACGGTTGTGTCTCAGGGAATAGGGAGGCCCGAGGAGGAGGGGAGAGAGAGGTGGGGGAAGGGCCCATCTGTGGAGCAGCCAGAACACACACAGCATTGATCCGTTACGTTCACCGTCTTATATGGTTTAAGAACAATTAAAATAGTAACATCAAAGATCACAGATCACCATAACAATTATAATAATGACCCAGGCACCCCTAATCAGGCTTTTTAATTTAAGTCATTCTGGTAAATGTATAGTGGTATCTAATTTTGGTTTTAATTGACATTCTCTGATGATTAATAAGCACCTTTTCTTGTGTTTATTGGAAAAAATATATCCTTTGTAGGAGCGTCTGGGTGGCTTAGTCATTAAGCATCTGCCTTCCACTCAGGTCATGATCCCAGTGTCCTGGGATCGAGCCTTGCATCAGGCTCCCTGCTCCGCAGAGAGCCTGCTTCTCCCTCTCCCACTCCCCCTGCTTGTGTTCCCTCTCTCACTATTCTCTCTCTGTGTCCAATAAATAAATTAAAAAATCATTAAAAAATATATATATATATCCTTTGTAAAGTGTCTGCTTGAGTCAGTCATAACATTCGGTTGTCTGACTTTTCTTTAATATTGTACATGGTATCCAGATAAACACAAGTCCTTAATTTTAATGTAGTCAAATTTGTCAAATTTTTTATGGTTACTGTGTTTTATTCCCCGTTCCTTTTTTTTTTTTAAGATTTTATTTATTTGACAGAGAGCGAGAGCAGGAACACAAGCAGGGGGAGTGGGAGAGGGAGAAGCAGGCTTCCTGCCGAGCAGGGAGCCCGATGTGGGACTCGATCCCAGGACCCTGGGATCATGACCTGAGCTGATGGCAGACGCTTAACGACTGAGCCACCAATAGTGTTTTATTTCTTAATCATGGTGATAGGTCCATATATTTTTGTTATATTATTTTTTAAATCCTTAACAAGTCTGAGGTATTTAATAATTATTTTAAGATTTGGTTATATTTTACATGCTTTTAAAAAATTTTTTTAGTTTGAGCATAGTTGACACACAATGTTACGTTAGTTTCAGGTGTATATACTGATTCAACAAGTCTGTACATTATGGTATGGGTCACCACAAGTGTGGCTACCATCTGTCTGCACACAGCGCTATTACAATATCATTGCCTAGGGGGCGCCTGGGGGGCTCAGTCGGTTGGGCGGCTGCCTTCGGCTCGGGTCGTGATCCTAGAGTCCCGGGATTGAGTTCCGCATCGGGCTCCCTGCTCGGCAGGGGGTCTGCTTCTCCCTCTGACCCTCTCCCCTCTCATGTGCTCTCTCTCTCAAATAAATAAAATCTTTAAAAAAAAAGAATATTTGGGGCACCTGGGTGGCTCAGTCGGTTGGGCTCCCTGCTCAGCGGGGGGTCTGCTTCTCCCTCTGACCCTCCCCCCTCTCGTGCTCTCTCTCTCTCAAATAAATAAAATCTTTAAAAATAAAAAATAAATAAAAAAAATAAAAAATAAAAAAGACTGCAGATATATTGAGAGATTGTACCTACATCTAACGAGGTTAAGATACCTCCTTGTTATTAAAAGAGTCAATCTAGGGCGCCTGGGTGGCTCAGTCGGTTGAGCGACTGCCTTTGGCTCAGGTCATGATCCTGGAGTCCTGGGATCGAGTCCCGCATCGGGCTCCCTGCTCAGCGGGGAGTCTGCTTCTCCCTCTGACCCTCCCCCCCTCATGTGCTCTCTCTCATTCTCTCTCTCTCAAATAAATAAAATCGTTAAAAAAAAAACCCAAAAAACAATATCATTGCCTATGTTCTCCGTGCTGTGCCTTTTATTCCCATGACCTATTCATTCCATGTAATTTTCCTAGATATTGCCAAATTGTCCTCTTGAGGGCTACTGTACCATCATCCATTTCCACTGCAATTAACCAGAGTTATCTATCACACTGCAGTCTGAGCAACAGAGTACGCTGTCAAGCCTTTGTCTTTGCTAATAAATTGCGATACACACATCTATATATCTGTGAAGTCATCACTGTAATCAGGATCATGAACATACCTATCACTCCCAAAAGTTTTGGGGGGCCCCTTTGTAATACCTGTTTCCCATTACTCTTCACCCTTCCCCTTCCCATCAGGCAATCACTAACCTGTTTTCTGTCGCTGTGTATTATTTTGCATTTCCTAGAATTTTGTATAAATGGAGTAATAAAGAATATTTATGGGCGCCTGGGTGGCTCAGTTGGTTAAGCGACTGCCTTCGGCTCAGGTCATGGTCCTGGAGTCCCGGGATCGGGTCCCGCATCGGGCTCCCTGCTCGGCAGGGAGTCTGCTTCTCCCTCTGACCCTCCCCCCTCTCATGTGCTTGCTCTCTCTCATTCTCTCTCTCTCAAATAAGTAAATAAAATCTTTAAAAAAAAAGAATATTTATAACAAAGAGTCTACCCTGCCCATACACAAAACCTTCATCCTGGCTCCATCCCCAACCACAATAAAAGCCAGAGCCAGGGCGCTTGGGTGGCTCAGTCATTAAGCGTCTGCCTTCGGCTCAGGTCATGATCCTGGAGTCCCGGGATCGAGTCCCGCATCGGGCTCCCTGGTCTGTGGGAAGCCTGCTTCTCCCTCTCTCACTCCCCCAGCTTGTGTTCCCTCTCTCGCTATCTCTCTCTCTGTCAAATAAATAAATTTAAAAAAATCTTAAAAAAAAAAAAAAAAAAAAAGCCAGAGCCAATCACTCATCGTTGTACTCCCAGGCAATCTTTGGAGCTGGTTGGAGCCTACCTTGTCCGCCTCCCCCCACCCCCCCCCGAAAGCCTAATGACTAATAAATCTCTTCACACTTCCTTAATGTGTGTGTAGCAACATCAGTCTTGACATACAAATAAAAGTTTGGGTGAGGGTCTGTCCTGCCTCTAGAGTGAACACAGTAATTCACTGGAACTGTGACCAGGATGTGTAGATGGTCACCACCACCACTGAGATCTTTCTTCTGTTGCTTTGGCGTGCTGCCTACTAGCAAGCATGCACTTTCAGCTATTGCTTGCCAGCTAACATGCTCTTTGGGCTGTGTCCATGCTTGCACTTTGAGTTGTGCAACCCTTTGCTACGTTTGCCAGGTCCAGTGAGCCTCTGTCATACAGGAAACCAAGCAAAGTTACAAGTTATAATTGGCATTAAGAAACCTGTGTAAGGGATTGGGCCCTCCTTAAAGTGACCCTGGTCACATATTTCAGCCTGGACTGATTGGTGTGTCTCAGATTGAATTAGGTGTCTCAGTGGCATTAGCTGTGACTGATGCCAAGCTCAGAGGAAAGACGTACCTTGTTGCCACCGGTTGTGTCTCAGGCAGGCGCTGGCTTCTGTGTAAAGAGTGCTCGGGAAAGACTGATAGCTGGTGCAGCAAAGGAGCCCACGGCTAGCGCTTCTGTGGAGGGAGAGCTGGGACTATAGCAGTTTTGTTGTTGCTACATACGCCTGTATCATCAAAAATGATCCTGGTCCGGGTTATGGGGGGGAACCCTCATTAAGCGAAGGGCTTAATTCAACCATTGCATGGGGAAGGACCCTGACATTGACAGTTCTTATCTGGGACTCTCAAAAGGGAAGAAACATAAATAGCAGTAGCACCAAAAAGGGGGGGAGGGGGAATAAACCCAGATTATGAGGGAAGGAAGCAAAAAAACTGAAACAGAAGTCCACATATTCACCCAATTAGAAATCTAAATCTACTAAAAGTTTATACAACAAAAAGAAAAGAGTGGTGACTGACCTTTACACATTTACAACACAGGTCTGAATTAACTTTACATCTGCCAGCATGTACCAACTGGCAAATTTTCACAATCTTAATGCTAGGGCTTATACTACTTGGGGTTCCCTCTAAATTAAAACAAAGTACTTTGTATAATTTTAGGGGAGTTATTGAACATAAAATAGAAGACAAAAAGGTATGCCACATCTTAACCATCAAAAGTATTGCCTTTTTAATTCCTCGTGGTCATGGCATCCACTGCCCTAAAATATCCCATAATGGGCATAGATGTTCCAACCCATTAAGTAGTAAATTTAAATTGCCACTTATAAAAGACTTGACAAAGTGGAAACCCATGCATTTTCTCCTCCAGTTAAGACAGTTAATACAGCTGTATTAGTTTCCTATTACTGTTGTAACAGATTACTACAAACATATTGGCTTAAAACAATACAAATTTACTATCTCTTCTGGACATCAGAGTCCTAAATGATCTTCACTGGGCTAAAATCAATGCATTGACAGGATTGCATCACCTCTGGAGGCCCTAGGAGAGAATCGTTTCCCTTACTTCTTCTATCTTCTGGTGGCTGCCTACGCTGCTCTACTCGTGGCTCCTCCCTTCATCTTCTAAACCAGCAGCTGTGGCTACAAATCTCTCTTGACTGACTTCTTACCTCCCTCTCTTTTAAAGGCCTAGTGATCAGAAGACACTGGGCCCATCCAAATAATCCAGGATAATCTTTCCAACTCAAATCTTAATCACAGCCGCAAAATTCCCTTTTGCCACATAAAGAGCATATTCATGCTTCTGGAGATTAGGATGTGGACATCTGTAGGGGGCCATTATTCTGCCTATCACAGTGGTCCACTGTAAAAAAGGGCTTTCAGGATTGAAACCCATTATATAAGACCTATTTAGAGGAGGGGTAATGCCCCCTCCCCCACACTTCTCCATTTCCAAATTTGGCCTGTTCTTAAACTAGGAAAATATGCATGGCACCTCCTGGTGAATTACCTCAACTTCAGTGCTCTGGTCCCATCCAATAAGGATCACAAACCCAATAATACTGAAATGACTGACCCTCCAGGCAGCAGTTGATCAATATTTTACTGTTACAGATTTGGCTAGTATGTGGTGTTTAGTGCCTGTTTCAATAGCCTCTCAGTAGTAGTTTGCCTTTAGCCCTAGGGCCATGACACATCTTAACCAGGCTACCCTTAGAGTACCTCAGTAGCCTTGACATCACTTACAATCAGTCTTTCTAGGCAAGATCAATTGTATCCATCTTTCTCTAGGAAGACAGGTATGGACATGACAGTGAAGCCATCCTATCCTCCTCTGACACACATTCAGGACATTATAAATACTCATAAAGGGGGTCAATGAAAGGGAATGGGCCATTGTCTACACATAATAGTAGGCCCAACTACCTCAGTTAAGTTCCTAAAATTATTTGGCAAGCCATAGGCTTCTCCATCCCTGACACTGTCAAGACACAGCCATTGATTCTGAACACCTACAATGTTAAAACAAGCCCAATATCTTTTGTCTTCTTGGGTTCTGGAGGCAATGTATTCCTCAATTACAAATTTTACTTAAGTCCATCTGTTACATGCAGATCAGTCCAACCTGAATGGGGTCCCACCCAACAAAAGGCTCTAAAATCTGTTCAAATTGAAATACAAGGGCACTCCCATTAAGTACCCCAAGAGAGTCCTTCACTACTGAGGTTTTACCAACCTTTTTCATGCCTCATAGTCTCTGGACCATCATGATGGCCGTAAGTTGCCTATTAGCTTGTGATGCAAGACACTGCCCTCCTTAGCCCCACAGTACATACCATTAGAACAGCAACTGCTAGTCACATCCAGGGTTTTGTTGGAAATAGAGGCTCTCACAAAGAGTCTGTGATCCTTTATACCCAAATAGGGTCTCATCATGGAAGCAGCACTTTGGCACCACTATCGAGGCCTCCTTGCTATAATATGGAGCCAGGCTTGGGAACTCTGGTGTATCCCACCTGTAGCAGAATGGTCTCCTCATCCTCAGTTTCTTCCCAGATGTCATGTGCTGGAGGAGGCCACCCCTTGTCTAGACCCCTTGACTACCTGGGCATCTGCTTAGGATTACCTGAGTAAACAGCAAAATAAGTGTATATTTTGTGCATGTCACCATCATCATATGTGGAATTTGCTGGAGAGGATACTTTTCATTCCTTAACCCAGATGTTCATGATCAAAGATGGACACAAGGGTCAGCACAATTAGCTAAACCTCAGGCAGTCATTTTAGGATTGAATGGCTTGGCTAACAACTGGCCCCATCTGCACATTTTTATGGACTCTTGAGCTACTGACAAAGGTTTGGCCATATGGTCCAGTCAATGGCAGCAACAATGTCTTATACATAGTTACCCTCTTTGGGGTAACAAATTCTGGGAATCTCTTGCCTTACAGATACCCAGATATAAGTGAAGGTCACACATATCTCTGTACATACTAAAGCCAGAAGACAAGGCCTCACCAAGACACTCCTTACCGCCTTCAGAATTCTGCATATTTATAATGACTAAGGCATTTCACTTTTCAAAATACACAATACGGAGCTTCCAACAAGGCATTTATTAGGATTTTCACCTCCCTTACAGGTCTCAGGCTCTTAGCATTAAAAAATTAGTATGAGAATTCCCATATACCCTTCACCCAGCTCCACTAATGTTCACATGTTATATGATACATGCTATCACAATGAGGAAGATAACATTGATAGACTATGAAAAACCAATTTACAGACCTTACTCCACTTTTTCCAGTTTTTCTGCCAATATAATTTGCTAGTCCACAATCTAATCCATAATCACACATTGCATTCAGTTGTCCTCAGTCTCCTCAAATCTGTGACAGTTTTTGTTTTAATGACCTTGATACTTTTGAAGAAAACTGGTCACTTATAGAATGGCCCATGTCTTAGGTTGAGGTTATGCATTTTGGCAAGTGTACCACAGAAGTGATGTGCCATTTGAGAAGCATCTCATGGGGTGGTGGGGGCGGGGAGAGGGTGATGTTGATATGATGATATGTCTAATCACTGGCAATGGCAGTGTTAATCTGCAATATTTGGTTAAGTTTGTGGCTGGCTGCCTGGTTTCCCCACAGTAAATTTACTATCCATTTGCTTTGTAATTGTTAAGTATCTTGTGGAGAGAAAGTTTGAGACTATCCAAATGCCCTGTTTTTCTTTTCTTTTCTTGAGAGAGAAAGAATGAGACAGAGAGAGAGCATGAGACGGGGTAGGGTCAGAGGGAGAAGCAGACTCCCTGCTGAGCGGGGAGCCTGATGTGGGGCTCGATCCTGGGACTCCAGGATCATGACCTGAGCCGAAGGCAGTCACTCAACCAACTGAGCCACCCAGGCGCCCCCAAATGCCCTGTTTTTCATCATCCACTACTTTTAACACCAAACAGTGCTTCTCTGTCTGCAACAGTTTTTGCAGTGATATTTATCTAATGGCTTTCTTCCCTATTTTTAATATTAATTCATTGAAATTCAACTATATGATTTTCACTGTTTATTAACTTATTTATTTATGTTAGTACAGATACATATTTATTTATTTTGTTGCTCAATTGTCCCAGCGTTGTTGATTCGGAGCTCCTCCCAAATTAGATGATGTCTACTTTTGATGTCTCTACTATTTTTTTTCCTGACTTATTATACTTTATTATTGCATTTATCCAGTAGGATAAAAATCTTTCATAACCTCTGCTGGGGGTCATGTTATACACTCAGCCAATAAACAGAAACATTTTAAAATTAAATGCTTTAGTCATACTTATTACATAATCATCTGCCCTTTTTGAAGAGGGAGATTCAAAGACATAGTTGATTCTTTTATAGTCACAAAGGTAATTTTTATCTAACTCAGAAATAACCACTTTCTCTGAATGGGACTGCAAATTAACCGGACCAAGTCAGAAATAAAATAAATACCCCAGAGTTTTTGTATCTCTACAATTCTAACTAATTAATACTTTTCTTGTGCTTTTAATGTTATACTAAAGTTTTGTGATTCTGTAAGTGAATCTCTTTAAATGAAATTCTGAGTCTGAAATTTCATCTAAAACAGATTATTCCATCTACATTATATATTCATAGTGTTAAACTCAATTAAGTATATAATTCAGATATCTTTGGGAAGAAGTAAAATTAAGTACTATAGACATGAAGTAAACATTTACCACATTTGTGGATATTAAAGCTTAAGATAATTTTGAGGAAACGGAATGAGACACCAATTGAACTGTCTAAACTAACAACTCATATATTTAATATAAATAATCAATACATTATTCTAGATCTCCTCAGCTATATGCCTTTTTATACTTTGCTTAAGAAAATGGAAACTGGGGCGCCTGGGTGGCTCAGTTGGTTAAGCGACTGCCTTTGGCTCAGGTCATGATCCTGGAGTCCCGGGATCGAGTCCCGCATCGGGCTCCCTGCTCAGCGGGGAGTCTGCCTCTCCCTCTGACTCTCCCCCTCTCATGCTCTCTCTATCACTATCTCTCTCAATAAATAAATAAAAATCTTTAAAAAAAAATGGAAACTAATTGTTACTAAACTTATTTTATAAACATGCTTACATGCATGTATTTGTTTTCATACATGTATTCTTTTTTTTTAATTCATTACTTCAGATTTATTTTCCACTTTAAAGATGAAACATACTTTCAAAAAAATTTGGCATTATAGTAAAGTGAGAAAAAATTAAAAATAATTGTGCAATCATCAAAATAAAAAGAATTCAACATTTTGCTGAATTTCCTTTTTTGAACACACATATACAATTTTTATTATATGTATTATATTCTGATTTTACCAATCTTTAAACAATGCTTTGAAATTTAAAGAAAAAGTAGCTTTGCGCAGTGGCAGTATCGTAGCCAATGAGGTTTATCCGAGGCGTGATTATTGCTAATTGAAATTTAAAGAAAAAGTAATTATGGAAGAATATTTAGATAATAATTATTGTGAAGATCAGAATTCAGTGGCTAGAATTCTTTTTTTAATACATGTATTCTTAACCCTTTATTGAATGTTTGCTTCAGTTAGATGACATTAAAATGTAAATTTACCAGGAGTTTCTAAGAAGTTTGTAAGAATATGAAACATAGAAAATAATTTGGTTTTTAGCTACTTTTAATCTATCTTGATTTTTGTGAAGCATCAATTTATATGGTAAAGTTCTATACAAGCCCAGTTTATCAGTCCATATACCTTCTTTGTGGATTTTTCAAAGTCTATGAGGACATGACCTCTGTCTACTTTCTGAGGAAAAGAAAACAAGGGGAATAATAAAATTTTAACTTCCTTCCTAGAAAAACATCAAGGGAATCATGAGATACAGCCACAAGTTGATAGAAGGCAGTGAACCATTGAAACTGCATTGTGCAATTTGCACAGAGCTGTCAAGTGAACTCACTCAGAAGTGAGTACAGATGGTAGGGAAAAAAGGCTTTATTTCATGGTTTAAAAACAAAACAAAAAAAGAACTCTTTTTTAAATGATAATTGAAACAGAGGGGTAAACACAGAGTTAACAATATTAAAATCATGGTTAGTAAATAGTGATCACCACTATTTTTAACAGTATTTTCAGGATATATAAAACCAAGATCAGTATCCTAAGGGACATACCAATTGGAGTGTTTGAAAAAAAATTAATTTTAAAGAAGGAACTATACATGAACTTAGAGATTTGCACTGGCTTCACTGTGGCCGGTCACCTCAGAGGTCCCAAGACACTGGAGTAAGCTTCTATAACACTATTATCAGTCTCGAGTAGGATATAGTTACTTCTGAATCAAAGGTCATTTGGTTTTCATATGGATTTGTCCAACCATCTCCCTACCAAATGTTAACTGCACAATTGCTGAAATCATGGGTTCTTCATCACCTCTCCTGGTTGAGTTCCAGGTCTATTTCAAACTGAAATTAAAGGTAGAAGGCAAGTAATAGTAGTAGTATTCTTCTACTTGAGCATGTTCTCTCAAAGTGGAGACTCTCAACAGCTATATTTTTGGTAGTTGGTTGGTCAGCCTGTTTATTTCTAAGATCAGTTTGGAAAAAGCAATGTGCAAAAAAACTGAGATCCATGTAACAGGTAGTCAGAAAGAGGTGTCATTTTATGTGACAGTCCCCCAATTGGCCCTGGGCCATCTTATTTCTCTGGCTTGTTTTCCTGATGTCTCTGTAATAACAGATCTATTATGGATTATATGTTCAGCTTAGACTATTTTTTTTCTTGTAATTTTGCCAGACAAAAGAAGATATAATCACAAAATATGCTGGAAAGAACCTTAAAAATATTTTATGCTAACTTCTGATGTTACAAAAGTGAAAATTCAGGTCCAGGTAGGACACATGACTTGTCTAAAATCCTATTTCTCCTTGCGTCAGAAAGAGGAAAAGCAAAATCTCCTAACTCACACTCTGAGGTTTTAATTTTTTTGTTGTTGTTCTTTCTTTGAATTTTCAACTCTAATGCTAAAAGAAGTCTCTACTATTTTTTTAACCACTTCTTTGAGTTGGTTATGCTTCGGGCCCATCTTGTATTTTCCTAGCTCTGGATTCAACATTTTTCTAAGAAGCTCTATTTCTTTTCATTAAAGAATAGTATTTAGAAGCCAAGATATAGCTATTCGGTGTGCTTGTTGCTTCTGTGTCATTGCTTTTAGGTCCTTTTAGCAGACAGAGGTAGGAAACATGCATATGTTTATTAACACATTCACCTGTATCCATATTTGTGTATCTATTCCTCTATGTATTAAAAGCCATAAGTTAGTACTGATGTCTCTCGTTCTAATCTAACACCATGAGGTTCACTCTAGCTTCCCCCCTCCTTATTTGTAGCCAGATATTAAAACATTATAAAGCTATATAGTAAGACAAGTTGATCAGTCATCTTCCTGAAGTCTCCAATTGTTAAGAGTTTGGAGTTAACTCCAAAACTGAGTTACAGTTTTTACTCTATAACAGTTAAAATGGAAAACTTTCTGTTTCATTTTTGTCTAAGACTCCAGAGATGGAGATTAATAGGTGTCAAAATTTTAAGATATAGTCAGATGATGTAATATAGAGTGAGTAAAAATGTTGTTTACTAAATAAGTGACAAGGAATACTTTTTATTGTATGACAGTATGGCTTAATATGCTAGTTGTTAAAATTTTCTATGTTATGTGCACATTCTATTTTCTAAACTAGAGATTATTTAAAACAGGAACAAGAGCCCTGCTACATGACACAGTCTCCCTGCCAAGGGTGGTCCCCTCAGCTCTTTTAGCTGATGCCTCTGATATTGATGTTTATTCCTAATTAATTCCTAATTCCTAATATTCCTAATTAATATTCTTGGCCTGGTATTTCTTAATCAATTTTAACTTCTAAAATTAAAAAATTTTTAATTTTGACTTTCCATACAGGTTTTAGAATTCCCGTGCCACGCTCCCACTTCTCTTTCACCCAGTAGGTTATTGGTTAAACCCAGTAGTATACACATAATTATAATTATACACTGTTAAGACAAGTGACACATGAAGTTCACAGTCTCTGAAGTAGAACTTTTTCCTGAAGTTAATTGCCATGTTTTTTGAAAAACCCTCCCATGTATTTATCACTTAATTTTACTAAGAGTCCAATAATACTGTCATATGCCTATCAATAATATTTTCCATACAGCCACATACATTAGTTCTTTGTTTTTTCTCCTGAGACCTTTCTTACAGAGCCTTCTGCCTTGCTCCAAAATGGAGGGACTTAACTGACATTTGGCTGCTAGGAGTTATTTTTACCTAGATGTCACTTTTGCATATCATACTAGAACTTGGCTTCAATAACCCCTGTCTGTGATGCTTCCTTTGGGGGGTTGTAGGGGTGGGGAGGGAGTTAGGGAGCCCTATGTCTTCTCATGCATTCTCATTACCTCCAGCTTGTACTCTACTAGCCCCACCCCCTAAGATGAGGAAGGCTATGAGAAGCCTGTGGCAGACCCAAATTAGGTGTGACTACCACTCATGTAACCCTAGCATTCAGGACCTAACATGTTTGGATACAAAATATCAATCCTAACCACAGTCAAGCCATTATTACACAGTGAGCCTCCGTGGTTGGCAATACTATGTGCATATTGTCACAATACATTGCCAAGAAGAGTTAATACTGTCCATGATTCCATGAGGAGAGGAAACCTGGAAACTCTGAGTTTGGACCTCTCCTGGACTCTACCCTATACTTCTCTTCACTTGCCTGATTTTAATCTCTATCTTCTCTGTATAAGCCATACCCATGAGTGAGCTCTGTTAGTCCTTCTAGTGAATTACTGAAATGAGGGTGGTTTTGAAGACCACTGTCACAAACTTACAAATGGTGTCAGAAGCAAAGGGAGTCTTGGACTGTGCTCTAACTCTGCAGTTGGTGTGAGAAATGGACTTTACCAGAAAGACCCTCACAAACTTAAATGTGTAGTTTGAGAAGAGAAAGGAGGAGTGAGAAATGATAAACTTTTCTTCCTGGGTGACCATAGGGTCACCTACAGTATGGAACTATAGCTGTGTTGTGATCAGTTACTCGAGGTAAAAGTTACCAATGGGATTTAGAAATGATGGATCTAACTCCCGGGGAGTTGGCTCACTGTATGCATAAGGAAATGCAAAGTAACAAGAAATAACACAATCCCTTTGTTATTGTGGCCCTCTGATAGTTATAATAAAAGGAAAGGAAAATGTTGGCGTAGGTCCTGATGCTGGGCCAACCTTAGGTTGTGGCAGGTCCAAACTACATCCTCTAGTCTCAGAGCTGCTACTGATGGGAAAAGTTAAAATGAAAATAAGAACAGTGTGGGCCAACCTCGAAATCTGCTGGTCGACGCTATAGCTGTTAGCCTCAGGGCTGCTACCAAAGGGAAAGTCATGCTTAACAACAGAAAACTATGAAAGTCAGAGTGATTTTTAGGAGAATGGGGAAAGACAAAAGGGGAGAACTAGGCCCAGCTTTAAATGGTTGGAGACCTTTAAATGTTAAGAAATGGGATGAACTGATGGGGAAAAGCAAAGGTCTTAAGGTAGCACTCTTAGAGGTTGGGTAGACAGATGGGGAGTCTCTGTTAGTCCCCAACTTTGAAAGGTCCTATACAAACCTACTTTATTTACTCTAGTTTGGAATAATTTAAAAAGCTAAAAGGCAGAGTGACAATGAGAAACCTGACTTTGGGGTGATGCTCCTACAATCTAATCCGTATACAGATTGACAAAAGGGCCACCATCCTTTGGCCTAATCCCCAGCTGAGGATCCAAAGACCATATGCACAGGAGTGGGAAAATGGTCAGGAAGTGAAGGAGAGACTTTTCTGGAACTTGTCATTGGCATGCGCCTGATATACTGTGATGCAAAACCTGCTGGTGAAGTCCTAAGGGAAGCTACATTCAGGTTGGGAGGATGTGGGATGCTGTGTTTGAGGGTATTAAGGTGACAGTTTGGGTAAAAGTTGGAATAATTCAACAGATTTTGTATGAAGTGTTTATATCTTGTTTATCTGAATAAATTATGGAAGTAGATATTATATCTGACTAGGGAACATTTCACCTACCTAGTATTGTAGAACAGAAGGCACATAAACCTGCCCTTTAGTGATATTGATTAAACATGCTCAATAGCAGCAACTAAGATTACCCAAGCCCACACAGATTATTAGTTTAATAGACTGGAATCACTGACCGAAAAAGAGATTACCCCATTTGCCCTATTAGAAGCCAGAGTGCTGGTGTGGACAGATGCTCTGAACAGTCACCCTGTATGGAGCACAGGCTGAGGCTTACAGCAAAAGCCAATGGTGACTTCTGGGGCTTTATACCAGAAAATTCCCATTAGAGAGACAACTACTAGCTTGCTATTGGACATTAATTAAAACTGCCCCTATTACTGAAAGACAGAAAATAATTCTGAACCCTAAAATACTCTTCATATTTTGGGTGATGGAGGGCAGTATCCAAAAGAGTTCCATACTAAAATGTAAATAGTTTGTGCAGAAACAGTCTACCAGGGAAATGCAAAGACATATTTATAATATTCACAAGCAGATAGCCACTTTTTCTGAGAACCAACTTTGGAATCACCTGAGGAGCTTCCTGATCCTATTGCCACTGGACAGTGCCCTGTAAAGAGCTTTCTATAGACTAACAAAGAACTACTTAGTGTATGGATGACAATTCTATGGTGAATGGACAGCATCTGGTTTGGAAAGCCACCACACTAGGACTGACTGATAGAAAATCTGTTTGAAAAAGTAAAAACAAATCAGCTCAGTAGACCAGTTGTGTGCTATTCTACCCTAGTTTGGGTTTTTATCAACTCATGAGTAGTGGCTAATGGTCTGGCTATATAGTTAGACAGATGTGCAGTAGAAAACTGGACCATTAAAGGGATGCCTACATGGGTCATGACCTTATGGAAGTTTAGGAGGCACATTAAAATAGGTCTCGTCAAAAACCATCAGAAGAATCTTCATGAGGGGCGCCTGGGTGGCTCAGTCATTAAGCGTCTGCCTTCAGCTCAGGTCGTGGTCCCAGGGTCCTGGGATCGAGCCCCACATCGGGCTCCCTCCTCGGCGGGAAGCCTGCTTCTCCCTCTCCCACTCTCCCTGCTTGTGTTCCCTCTCTCACTGTCTCTCTCTCTGTCAAATAAATAAAAAATCTTAAAAAAAAAAAAAAAAAGAATCTTCATGATCAGAAGGTGACTGGAACTGTCAAATGGATATTTTGGTGTCCTCACTTGAAGTGGCCACCCGAGTGCATGAAACAAGTGGAGGTGGGAGAGCAGAAGCAATACAGAGATGCCTGTAGGAAGGCCCCACACAAAGCTGGAAAGTATATGAAACTGGATTGGTACTTGCAGCTCTGGGTGTCTATGATTACATTTCTTTCCCCATCACCTCAGCTTTCTTTGTTCCTATCTGATGTAATGATTCTGGGACCAGTCCTGAAACTCTGTTTGTTGGAAGCAGGGATGATCCTTAAGCAAGAAACAATAATTATACCTTTAAATCTTTACATCAGGATTCCTAAGGGCCTGAATGAGTGGAATGTGCCTTCACCCTTTCTGGCAAAATTGGGATTTGCCATTTGGTGTACAACTCCTGGCAGACTGATCACTTGTATAACTATAAATTTCAATGACCAAATGCTTGTAAGAGTCCCTGGCTATCATGGACAAAATATAGCAGTGGCATACCTGACTTGCCACAGTATGCTCTGCACAAATACTTATCACTCTTGTTTTTGTACATGAAAATAAATAAAATAGAAAAATACAGTGTGTTTCTGATAAAGTTAAAACCATAGGCATTATCTGGTGGGTCTGAATTTCCCTGAGGAAAGCCCCACCCCCTAAGATGAGGAAGGCTATGAGAAGCCTGTGGCAGACCCAAATTAAATTACACATAGGTGTGACTACCACTCATGTAACCCTAGCATTCAGGACCTAACATGTTTGGATACAAAATATAAATCCTAACCACAGTCAAGCCATTATTACACAATGGCAACAATATGCATGGCAGATTAAACAAAATTGGCCCAAAGACAGAGGCTTTAGGGGAGACAAATACCAGTCTAGGCATCATGGAACAAGTTGAATTCACTTTTCTTGAGGAATAGCATTCAAAGGAAAAAAGATTTATTAATCAAAATAAGCAGATTAGAGGGAATTATCTTCCAGGAGGAAGGCAAAGGATGGAAGTCAGCTCAGAAAGATAATAAAACTGTAGGATCAGTGTTATGGACTGAACTGTGTCCTCCAAAAAGCTATGTAGAACTTCTAACCTTTAGTACCTGTCAATGCAAACCTATATGGAAGTAGGGTCTTGGCAAATGTACTCAAGTTAAGATGAGGTCATTTGGATGAACCTTAATCCACTGTGACTGGTGTCCTTTTAATAAGAGAAGAGACAGAGAACTGAACATCATATGATGATGGAAGCAGAGGTTGGAGTGATGCATCTACAAAGTGAGGAATACCAAAGATTGTTGCCAAACACAAGAAGCTAGGAAGGGGCAGGAAAGGATCCTCCTCCCAGAGACCACAGAGAGACAATTACCCTGCCACCATGTTGTTTTCAGATTTCTAGCCTCCAGAATTGTGAGACAATAAATTTCTGTTGTTTTTAAGATGTTTTGTGGCACTTTGTTATGTCAACCCTAGGAAACTAATAGCGACAGGAAGACTCAAACAATCCTAGATAATGCTAGGACCCCATGTTGGGAGGGTGCTTGTATCCTGATCCCACAGTAACTTTTTACTATCTTAATATAGATGAAAGCTGATGTACTCATGGACAATGACCCTCCATCCTAGCTGCTCAACGGGGCATGCCTACAGGAATCTTAGGGACCTCCAAATATGAAAATTCTCTGGAGCACTTGTAATTTACACTGCAGCACTGATAGCCCTCAGAGTAAGATATCCTGTAGTACAATTAACAGGGAAAGGAACTATTCTGGATAGAAAGAAAGTAAGCCCTGATATAGAACAGCACACAATGGAAACCAGTTTCACTACAAGTCTGTAAACTGAGACAGGGTATTTAGCTTCATCCCCAACTGAGTTGGAACCCGGAAATAACTGAATCATGGCCAATTATAATGACACCTGTCCATAATATCTGGTATATGGTCATGGACTGATTCTGTTAAGGCATACCAAATACCACTGAAATTCTGGTTTTTTTCCTGTAACCAAATTGTACCATAATGATACTGCAATATTGTGTAACACTGGTGTTGGTAAGAGTCAATACCCTATGTAAATAAGTTATATAATACTAAAAAATTAACTTAAATCTTCCTCAAGATGTAATATTAATAGAAAAATGACTGGCCTGAGGAAGAAATGGATTTAGCTATCAACTAATTTCTATGTTAAATAGTCTGTACAAGATTATCATAAGGTACAAATAATAGTGGATTAAAGAGGGGAAACAATCAAATTAGTACAGAAATATGAAAATACATGTAATGATTTACAGGATGGGTTAGTGGTTTCTTTAGCTCTATCCCTACTCCACACTGGATCCTCCAAGTATTAGGCATATTCATACTGATACTATTGCTGTACCAAATATGATTATTTTGCTATAAGGAAGCCTGGGCCAAGAACTAGGGTCTGGCCTGTGCAGTAAAGAGTTAACCCTGTACAAAGAAATGTTAGATTCTTGCTCAGCTCATGGGAGGTAACCTCTAAGGCCTTAGAGCATCCTGCCTGATGAGTGTCTTTGTTTACTTGAGGGCCTTGGACTATAACCGATAGTGTAATTTGGTGTGATTTACGGTAGGGTCTATGAGCCATGTGGTAAGCTTGACCTCTGGAGAGGCTAGAGACAGGGCAACCATGTGCTCCTTCAGTCATGCCTATGGAACTGACCCCCAACAAAAACCCCAAACACTAAGATTTGAGTGAGCTTCTTGTATGTCAGTACTCCATATGTGTAATCACACATTATTACTGGGAGAAGTAAACACTCTACATAATTCCACTAGAAGAAAACAAATGGAAACTCATGACTGGAACTTTCCTAGGCCTTGCCCTGTGTGTGTTTCTCTTTGCTGATTTGAATGTGTATTCTTTCACTGTAATAAGCTGAAGCTGTGAATATCCTAGCTTTTCTGAGTTTTGTCTTCTTAGTGAATCACTGATCCTGAGGTCTTGAGAACCTCCCAACTACAGCCCAATTCCCTTTGTCCAAAAAGGGGGGTAAAAATGAAGCTGTTCAATGATTGTGTGGATAAGGAATAACATATGCAGAGTATCTGGCATATAAATAAATGTTCATTCTATGGTTGCTATTATTATCGAAGAACTTTTTACCTCAGGTAGGTTTAAGACAAAAAACTAAGGGTTAAAGACACTAAAATGGACTCCAAAAGAACCAGAGAAAAACTATCCTAAGAAAGAGCTCTAGAGGGGCACCTGGGTGGCTCAGTCATCAAGTGTCTGCCTTCGGCTCGGGTCATGGTCCTGGGGTCCTGGGATCAAGCCCCACATCAGGCTCCCTGCTCGGTGGGAAGCCTGCTTCTCCCTCTCCCACTCCCCCTGCTTGTGTTTCTGCTGTTGCTATCTCTCTCTCTCTGTCAAATAAATAAATGAAATCTTAAAAAAAAAAAAAAAAAGAAGAAGAAGAAAGAAAGAGCTCTAGAAATCTATATGGTGATCCCCATGAGACTGCGTACTAAACCATGCATACACAGGATGAAGGTATATTAAGACCAGGCAAAGAATGACATCAAAGCTTTAATCTGAACACTTCCAGAGCTCACAGGGTGATAAGAAATGTTTGAGTTCTGACCAGCCAGTGTGGAGACTTCACTGAATATCTGCAGCTCAATAAAGATCCCAAAATGGTCAGTCCATAGTAACAGAATTAAAGCAGCTCACAATACTGGGTGATGGGCATTAAGAGGGCACATGATGTGATGACCACTGAGTGTTACATACAACTAATGAATCACTGAACATTATATAAAAAACTAATGATGTACTATATTTTGGCTAACTGAATTTAAATAAAGTATCTCACAATAAATACTATTCTAAATATGTCCTAACAAAATTTGATAATAATAACCTTGAAAGGATCAATCTTATCATCAAATACTTGACTGTATGCAGGAACAAAATCCAACAGTTTTTAAGGGAGATTAACAAATTCAGCATTTAACAACAACATTCATGATGTCCACCATCCTATCAAAAATTACTAGACATGGTAGAAGCAGGAAAATATGAACAAAATCAAGTGAAATGGTCAACAGAAATGACAGAGATGATAGTTTTCAGACAAAAATGTTAAGACAACTATTATAAATATGTTTAATAAGCTTATAACATTAGAGGAGTGTGAATATAATGGAGAGAGAAATTGAAGATACAGTAAAAGAACCAAGAGGCATTTGGGGAACATAAAAATAATGAATGATTTTTACAGCAGATTACACAGTTCAGAAAAGAAGAAATTGATTTTGAAAACAAAGAAATAAAAATTTTCAAAATGAGGCAGTGTGAGAAAAAAACAACAGTAGCCTGTGAGATAATATCAAGTGATCCAAAATACATGTAACTGGAATTTGAGAAGACGGGATCAGAAAAAAATATTTGAAAGAAGAATCGCTATTTTCAAAATTAGATGAAAACTATAAATCCACATATCTGACTACTTCAAGGAACACAAACAGGATAAATATAAAGAAAATCTAGCTAGGTTCTTCAAAATCAATTTTTGAAAAGTAGCGATAAACAGAAAGCTTTATAAAGCAGCCAGAGGAAGAAGACTCATTTAAAAAAGGAACAAAGAATTCCTTGACCTTCCACCAGAAACTATGAAAGCAGTAACATAATTGGAAGACATTTTTAAAGTACTGGGAGAAATGGTCAGTCTAGAATTTTATATCTACTAAAGATTGCCTTAAATGTGCCAAAGCTCTGAGGTTCTGCATTCAGCCAAGATGGAGTAACAGAAACTACTTTTACTCTCCCTCCTGAAACAACCAAAAAAAAAAAAAAAAAAAAAAGGAAGGAAGGGAAGGAGAGAGGAAAATGATTTTTTTCAGGAATATTTCTGCATATCAGGCAATGAAGAATTGTGATTCATGAGGGACAAAAAACAAAACCCTATGATTGCCTCATCTTACTGCCTTAAGAGAGATTATAGTATGCAGCACAGAAAAGAAGTGAGAGAGAGCTCAGCAGACTCTCTGAATTGAAGAGATGTAGCTGAGAGTCAGGAGTAATCAAGGCAATAGCTGTCCAGAGGAATACTAAAGAAGAGAGAGCTAGAGTGAGGGAATTCTAAGATCTTCAGGTCACTTTTGAGTGTTCAGCAGAGTACTAATCAGTATATTTCCTAGATAGTCTCCCACTACCAGAAGCTGGCAAAACAACAACAACAACACAAAACAAAACAAAACACTCAATATTCTGAAGGGAACCATACCCAGCTCTCACACAAAGCAAGGAAGAATACCTGCTCCCACCAGTTAGAGTTCATAATTCGTGATGTATTGGTAGACTATTCAGCAATGTCTTGCCTTAATAGTGGGGATGGGACTGGTCAGTAAAAAGAGTAGTAATGCTCTGGATTCTCCTAACAAATCATAAAAGGATGAAACTATTTTTAAGTAACTTGACCCCAGAACAAAGCTCAAGAATATTTAGAGGAATACAAAATCCAGCGATCAAGGTAAAATGCAATGTGTAGTGTTCAAAGATTACTATGCATGCCAAGAGGCAAAGGAAAAAAGAACACAATGGTGAGAATTTTTTAATGAAAATTAACCCAGAAATGACAAATAGTATTAGCAGAAAACATTTAGCAAATTATATATTCCAAATGTTCAAAACTGAAGTAAGGACAGACATACAATATATTTTTAGGCATTCAGCTTCAATTTCTAGAGTTGTAAACTCAACAGTTTGAGTTGAATTCAAATGTTTGAGTTGAAAAATACAATGCCTGTGTTTAGTGGTGAATTACACATTGCAGAAGAAATGACCAGTGAACCTGAAAGTAAAGCAATAGAAACTTATCTAATATGAAAGAAAAAATTCTATAAAAGAGAATTAGTGAGCCATGAGATTACTTCAAGCAGCCTAATTATGAGTATTTAGAATCCTCTCAAAAAAAAAAGAGTAGAAGCAGAAAATTTTTTTAAACATTTATTTATTTGAGTAGGCTCCATGCCCAATGTGGAGTCCAATGCAAGGCTTGAACTCATGATCCTGAGATCAAGACCTGAGCTAAGATCAAATGTCAGACACTCAACTGGCTGAGCCATCCAGGTGCCCCAAAGCAGAAAAATTTTTGAATAATGACTGACAATTTACACCCAACAATCTTAATGAGCCCATAGCACGAGAAACATTTTTTTGACACTTGATCTTAGCTAAAAGGCCGAGAAGCGGTAACAAGAAACATTTTTTAAAAAAAGCATTATACATCATAATCAAATTACTCAAAGGCCTTATGGGTATATCAGGATTCAAGAGTTTTATTTTCTTTAGTTATTGGGGAAGTTTGAGTACAGCAAGCTATTATGCGTCTCTCAAATGGTATGTGTTGTACCACAGTATCCAGAAATGTTATCATCCAAAACCTGACTGCTTGCTGCTGGGTGGTTCTCCCTGACTTTAAAAATAAGGCACAGTTTGGGGTGCCTGACTGGCTCAGTCAGTTAAGGGACTGCCTTTGGCTCAGGTCATGATCCCAGGGTCCTGGGACTGAGCCCCATGTCGGGCTCTCCACTCAGTGGGGAGTCTACTTCTACCCCTCCCTCTGACCCTTCCCCCACTCATGTGTGTGCAGACTCTCTCTCTCTCTCGAATAAATTTTTAAAAATCTTAAAAAAAAAATAAGGCACAGTCTAAAATCCACATAGAGCTTTGGACAGAATTTGTTGGTACCAGCACTCCAGTTTCTAACAGGGCATCAAAGTGGTAATATCTTTTTGACCACCAGGTATTCTATTTCAAATTAAAAAATAATTTCAGCTTTGGCAATTCTGTTGGTTTCCATTTAGAATGTCTATTCTATTTCAAATTAAAAAATAATTTCAGCTTTGGCAATTCTGTTGGTTTCCATTTAGAATGTCTATTTAATATTGGCTAAATAGTCCATTTACATGCCTTCTGTTTCACAACACTAGGTAAGGGAAGTATTCCTAGGCAAATATAATGTCCATTCTTTTTTTTTTTTTTTTTTTAAGATTTTATTTGTTTGAGAGAGACAGCATGAACAGGCGAGGGGCTCCCCTGAGCAGGGAGCACAATGGGGCTCGATCCCAGGACTCTGGGATCATGACCTGAGCCGAAGGCAGATGCTTAACCAACTGAGCCACCCAGGCACCCCTATAATGTCCATTCTTGTCATATGTTCAGGTAGAGGAGATATAACCACTTCACATAAATTTTGTTAATTGCAATTTTTATCTAAACATTCAAATTAATTCCATCAACTATTGCATCCTAATATTTTCTGAATCTAAATGTCCCCCATAGGACTTCACCTAGGGTAAATGTTTTCAATCATGGCCACTGGTTTTCCATATCATAGAGTCTCAGAAAAGTTTCTTCCTCATCCATTGGCCATTAAACCCATACATTTGAATGTGCTTTGGGTTTCCAGCCAGAGGTTGGGCCAACATTGGCCCTTTTGTCAATTCTTACACTGATCAGTTTGATGTTCCCAGGCAATTCAAAGTCTGGTTTCTCACTGTTATCTTTGCCTTGCAGCTTTTTAGCTTCTTTCAAGACAGGATAAACAGCAGATTTGTCCTTCAGTGTTGAGAGACTGCACAGGCTTCTGTTGATCCACCCCACCTCCAACAGTGCCACATTAAGACCTTTGTTTTGCTTCTGTCATTTTTCTGCTTTATTCTTCTTATTTCTAAAAAGTTTAAAGATTTCCACCCTGATATGATTCACTTGACTCTTACTTTTATCTTTCTTGTCTCTGGTATAAATCACTGCAACGATTTTTTATCGTTTCAGTGTATTTTTTTTCCTCTGGTAGCAGCCCTGTGCTGTATATCAGAATGGATGAAATACAAGCTTGGCCCAGATTGCAGATAATAATAACCAGTGAATTGTGTATTTAGCTTGTTTCCTTTTACTTTGTTTTTTTTCTTTTAAAGATTTTATTTATTTATTTGAGAGAGAGAGAATGAAAGACAGAGAGTATGAGAGGGAGGAGGGTCAGAGGGAGAAGCAGACTCCCCGCTGAGCAGGGAGCCCGATGCGGGACTCGATCCCGGGACTCTAGGATCATGACCTGAGCCGAAGGCAGTTGCTTAACCAACTGAGCCACCCAGGCGCCCTGTTTTTTTTCTGTTGTACCCAGTGAGCCAAGTCTTCAGGAGTTGAATCTATCATTTCTAAATTCCACTGGTAACTTTTACCTTAAGTAACTGATTGCAGCACAGATGCAGTCTCATGCCATGGTAACTAGCCACCAAAGAATCTAAGATTAACTCCCCACCCCCACAGATGCTCTTGTCCTTCCTTTTTCCAAACAGTGACTTTGCCATGTTTCAGTGAACCAGAGTCAATGCTAGAAAATCCCACTTCTGACATCAAGTGCAGTCATATGGTCCCTAAGACCATCTTCAGATTCAGTGAGTCACTAAAATAACTCAGATTTTAGAAAAGCTGTTTTACTCACATTCACCATTTATCATAATGGAAGATTAAATCAGGGGTGTGGTACATAGGGGAGGATCCAGGAGAGGTCAAGCATGAGCTTCCAGATGTCCTCTTTCAGTGAAGTCATGTGGACAGTACTTACATTTCCAAACAATGATGAGTAACAACACACACAGAGTATCACCAGTCAGGCTCACCTGAGATTTTGTGTCCAAGGTTCTTACTGGGTGTTGGTCATATAGGTATTGCTGGTTGTCATATGGCTGCCCTCAGTCTCCAGCCCCTTCAGAGGACAAGTTGATACTGCATGGCCCAAGGCCTGCATCATAAACCCACACTGTTAGTATAGATTATCTTGCAAGGCCCAAGGAAGGCCTGTAGGTAAACAAAGATAATCTTATCAGAGAGACTATGCCAAGGCTTTAGAAGTTACCTACCAGAATCTGGTCAATGACCAAACCTTTCTTTGGAAGAGGATAACCCTTTACTGCACAAGGACTTAGAGTGATTTAGTGATTTGTCTCCCAATTTTAAGCTAGTAATTCAGTGTATACTGAATATATATACTTTTTAAAGATTTATTTATTTGACAGAGAGAGACACAGTGAGAGAGGGAACATAAGCAGGGGGAGTGGGAGAGGGAGAAGCAGGCTTCCCACCGAGCAGTGAGCCTGATGCGGGGCTTGATCCCAGGAGCCTGGGATCATGACCTGAGCCAAAGGCAGATGCTTAACGACTGAGCCACCCAGGCGCCCTCAGGAGAATATATATTTACTAAGCTTCACAAATACTTCCGAGGCCTACATTCTCATTTGAGAATCATTAATAATAATATCTTTCCTTAACCATTTTCCTCATCTTTCTATGTGGATTTTCTTCACTCTCTGCTTTCTTTTTTCATTTTCTGAAATTCATAGCTATGTTTTAGTAGTGTCTTAGCCATTTGCTATTAGAACTTTATTTGAAAACAGTTTTGCAGGGGTGCCTGGGTGTGGCTCAGTTGGTTAAGCATCTGCCTTCGGTTCAGGTCACGGTCCTGAGGTCCTGGGATCGAGCCCCGCATCGGATTCCCTGCTCAGCAGAGAGCCTGCTTCTCCCTCTCCTCCATGCTTGTGCTCTTCCTCTCTCTCTCTCTCCAAATGAATAAATAAAATCTTTTTTTAAAAAAAGAAAAGAAGGGCGCCTGGGTGGCTCAGTTGGTTAAGCGACTGCCTTCAGCTCAGGTCATGATCCTGGAGTCCCTGGATCGAGTCCCGCATCGGGCTCCCTGCTCGGCAGGGAGTCTGCTTCTCCCTCTGACCCTCCCCCCTCTCATGTGCTCTCTCTCATTCTCTCTCTCTCAAATAAATAAATAAAATCTTTTAAAAAAAAAGAAAAAAAAAGAAAACATTTTTGGTTTATCTCTACCTTTGCTACTATAGAAGTTTTATTTCTCCCAGAATAGAAAAAAGGTAAATGTTTGATATTCATTTTATTTCAGATCAAGCATCAAAGTCTCCGACTAAGAAACTATCCTTAAGGAAAGAAATTAGTAATATAAAAACATTTCAGTTGAAATTAATGGGAAGAATTAGAATGCCAAGCTCAAGTATCAGAGATGTTTGGGAATGTAAAGATAAGTTTAAGAGACAAGAGTCACAACAGGAGGTGCACTGCAGCCAAGTAATAGTCACACATGAAGATGTGCCTACTTTCAATCAGCAAGTGTCTCTTACACTACACACACACACACACAGAGAGATGAAAATGAAGAGAAATCATATGAATGTAAAGAATGTGGGAAGACTTTTAGTCATGGCTCACAACTTACTCAACACCAGAGAACTCATACTGGTGAGAAACCCTCTGAATGTAGAGATTGTGGGAAGGCCTTTAGTTGTAGTTCAGCATTTACTAAACACCAGAAAATACACACTGGTGAGAAGTCTCATAAATGTAAGGAATGTGGGAAATCTTTTAGTTTTGGCTCTGACCTTTTAGGATATCAAAGAATTCATACTGGTGAGAAACCTTATGAATGTAGACAATGTGGGAAGGCTTTTAGTTGGATCTCATACTTTTCTCAACATCAAAGAATTCATACTGGTGAGAAACCTTATGAATGTAAGGAATGTGGGAAGGCTTTTAGAACTAGTTCATACCTTTCCCGACATCAGAAAATTCATATTGGTAAGAAACCATATGAATGTAAGGACTGTGGAAAGCCATTTTGTTGGTGCTCCTTTCTTACCAAACATCAGAGAATTCATACTGGTGAGAAACTCTATGAATGTAAGGAATGTGGGAAGGCTTTTAAATAACTCAAAACTTGTTCTGCATCAGAGAATTCATACTGGTGAAAAACCCTATGAATATAAAGAGTGTGGAAAGGCCTTTACTAGGAGCCCAAGCCTTATTCAACAAAAGAGAATTCATACTGGTGAGAAACCCTATGAATGTAAGGATTGTGGAAAGACCTTTAGTTGTAGCTCACATCTTTCTCAACATCAGAGATTTCACACTGGTAAGAAGTCCTCTGAATGTAAAGAATGTGGGAAGGCCTTTAATTATCGCTCAAACGTCACTGAACATAAGAAAATGCATACAGGTAAGAAACCCTATAGATGCAAGAATTGTGGCAAGGCCTTCACTGGGAGTTCAAGCTTTATTCAACATCAGAGAATTCATAATGCTAATTAACCCAATAAATGGAAGAACTATGTAGAAAATGTTTTCTTGGATCAGAGTTTACACAACTAAAGAAAACTCAAACAGTGGAAACATCCTAAGAACAAAATAAATGTTGTAAAACACAAATAGCTCCAACTTATTTGGCATTAGGAAAATCCAAATTTTAAACTTGTATTATAAATATTAAAAAGTTCATATTTGAGGGTAACCCTGCAAATTTATCTCTTTAAAGTAGTATCTATAATTTTAATTTATAGTCAACATTTGAAACCATTTTAAATTTTCTGAAAATATGAGTTCCTAAGTTAATCATGTCCTCTCAAATTCTTAGCACCACGTAATTACTGTTTATCTTACATGTTTATATTGCCTCCTGTTGATATGTACATGACCTCTTCTTCATAAGGCTATTACATTCAGGAGCAAGAGATATAACTGGTTTTTCTAAGACAGAGAAGGCAGACATTTAGAAAAAAATGAGAAGACAGGGGAATTTATCCCAAATGAAAGAACAAAATAAGGCCATGGCCAGAGATCTAAGTGAAACAGATATAAGTAACATGGAAGGAGTAGTTAAAGCAATGATCATAAGGATACTCACTGGACTTGAGAAAAGAATGGAAGACATCAGTGAGATCCATACCACAGAGATTAAAGAGTTAAAAAAGAATCAATCAGAGATGAAGAGAGCAATATGGGGTGCCTGGGTGGCTCAGTCGGTTAAGCGTCTGCCTTCAGCTCAGGTCATGATCCTAGGTCCTGGGATCAAGTCCCACATTGGGCTCCTTGCTCAGTGGGGAGCCAGCTTCTCCCTCTGCTCACTGCCTCTGCTGCTTGTGTGCTCTTGCTCTCTCTCTGACAAATAAATAAAATATATATTTTTTAAAAGTGAAAAGACAACCCAAAAACTGGGATAAAATTTTTGCAAATTATATGCCCAATAGGGACTTGTATCTAGACTACATAAAGAACTCTTATAACTCAGGCACATGGGTGGCTCAGTCATTAGCGTCTGCCTTTGGCTCAGGTCATGATCCCGGGGTCCTGGGATCGAGCCCCACATAGGGCTCCCTGCTTGGTGGGAAGCCTCCTTCTCCCTCTCCCACTCCCCCCTGCTTCCCTCTCTCACTGTGTCTCTCTCTGTCAAATAAATAAATAAAATCTCCAAAAAGAAAAAAAAAGTGCAATAACTGAGATTAGAAACATGATTAATGCAAAGAACAGCAGGCTGTAAGAAGCAGGGGAAAGAATTAAAGACCCAGAATACAAAGTACTGGAAAGCAATGAAGCTGAACAAAAGAAAGAATTATGCAACATGAGAATATACTTAGGGAACTCAGTGACTCCATCAAATGTAGTAACATTCATATCACAGGAGTCCCAGAAGAAGAAGAATAGAGAAAAGGGGGCAGAAAATTATTTGAGTAAAAAATAGCTGTAAACTTCCCTAATCTGGGGAAGGAAAGAGACATCCAGATCCAGGAGGCACAAAGAACTCCCATCAAAATCAACAAAAGCAGGCCAACACCAAGATATATTATAATTAAATTTGCAAAATATACTGATAAAGAAAAATCTTAAAAGTAGCAAGACAAAAGAAGTCCTTAACTTACAAGAGAAAACCCATAAGGCTAGCTGGAGATTTGTCAACAGAAACTTGCAGGCCAGAGGGAGTGGCACAATATATACAAAGTGCTGAATGGGAAAAATCTGCACCCAAGAATGCTCTATACAGCAAGGCTGTCATTCAGAATAGGAGGAGAGATGAAGAGTTTCCCAGACGGACAAAAACTGAAGGAGTTCGTGACCACTAACCCAGCACTGCAAGAGATATTAAAGGGGACTCTGAGTGGAACGGAGAGACCTAAAAGTGACAGTATAAATGTAAGAAATACAAAAGCAGTAAAAATCAATATTTCTGCAAAAAATCAGTCAAGGAACTCACAGAGGATATAAAATATAATAATATATACCTAAAATGCGGGGGACAGAGGAGTAAAGAATGGGATCAAACTTGACCGTCAACTTAATATAGACTCCTATATGCAGAAGAGATTATATACAAACCTGATGGTAACCATATATCAAAACTCTAATGAACATGCAAAGAATAAAGAGAAAGAAATCCAAATATATCATTAAAGAAAAGCAGCAAAACATGAAACAGAGAAAGACTAGAAAGGAACAGAGAAAATCTCCAGAAACGATTGACTTAACAGATGATACAATGGCACTGAATTCATACCTATCAATAACCACTCTAAATGTAAATGGACTAAATGCTCCAATCAAAGGACAGAGGGTGTCAGAATGGATAAAAAACCAAGACCCATCCATATGCTGCCTAGAAGAGACTCATTTTATTTTTTAAAAGATTTTGTTTATTTATTTGACAGAGAAAGACTCAGCGAGAGAGGGAACATAAGCAGGGGGAGTGGGGGAGGGAGAAGCAGACTTCCCGCCAAGCAGGGAGCCCGATGTGGGACTCGATCCCAGGATCCTGGGATCATGACCTGAGCCGAAGGCAGATGCTTAATGACTGAGCCACCCAGGCGCCCCAGAAGAGACTCATTTTAGACCTAAAGACACCTGCATATTGAAAGTGAGGGGATGGGAGAAATAATGTATCATGCAAATGGACATCAAAAGAAAACCAGAGTAGCAATACTTATATCAGACAAACTAGATTTTAAATCCAAGACTGTAACAAAAAACAAAGAAGGGCACTACATAATAATAAAGGGGACAATCCAATAAAAAGATATAACAATTGTAAATGGGAACATCAAAAAACAGAACAATAACAAACATAAAGAAACTAATTGATAATAATACAATAATAGTAGAGGACTTTAACACTTCACATACATCATCAGTCAACTAAACAGAAAATAAACAAAGAAACAATGACTTTGAATGAAACACTGGGCCAGTTGGATTTAACAGATATATTCAGAAAATTCCATCAAAAAAAAGAAGAATACACATTCTTTTCAAGTGCACATGGGACAGTCTCCAGAATAAATCACATATTAATGCACAAAACAAGTCTCAACAATTCCACAAAGTTTGAAGACATGCCATACATATTTATTGACTACAATACTATGAAACTAGAAATCAACCACAAGAAAAAATCTGGAAAGAGCACAAATACATGAAGGTTAAATAACATGCTACTAAATAATGAATGGGTCAACCAGGAAACCAAAAAAGAAATTAAAAAAAAAAAATACATGGAAACAAATGAAAATGAAGTGGTCCAAAATCTTTGGGATGCAGCAAAAGCAGTCCTAAGAGGGAAGTATATAGCAATACAGGCCTACCTTAAGAAGCAAGAAAAATCTCAAATAAACAAACTACCCTTGCAGCTAAAGAAGCTAGAAAAAGAATAACAAGCAAAGCCTAAGGCCAGCAGAAGGAAGGAAATAATAAAGATTAGAGCAGAGTAAATGATAGAGAAACAAACAAACAACCAAACAAAACCCGCCCCCAAAACCCCAGAACAGATTAATGAAACCAGGAGCTAGTTCTTTGAAAAAATTAATAAAATTGACAAATCTCTAGCCAGACTTACCAAAAAGAAAAGAAAAAGGACCCAAATAAAATCACAAATGAGAGAGGAGAAATAACAATGAACACCACAGAAATACAAACAACTATAAGAGAATATTATGAAAAATTGCATGCCAACAAACTGGACAACCTAGAGAAAATGGGATAAATTCCAAGAAACATACAAACTACCAAAACTGAAACAGGAAGAAACAGAAAACTTGGACAGACTGATAGCCAGCGAAGAAATTGATTCAGTAATTTAAAAAACTCACAACAAACAAAAGTCCAGGACCAGATGGCTTCAAGGTGAATTCTACTAAACATTTAATGAAAAGTTAATTCCTATTCTCAAACTATTAAAAAAAAATAGAAAAGGAAGAAAAACTTCCAAATTTGTTCTATGAGGCCACCATTGCCCTGATACCAAAACCAGATAAAGAAAATCTAATTTGTCTGATATGAGGATTGCTACCGCAGCTTTCTTTTGAGGTCCATTAGTGTGGTAAATGGTTCTCCACCCCATCACTTTCATTCTGGAGGTGTTTTCAGGTCTAAAATGAGTCTCCTGTAGACAGCATATGGATGGCTCTTGCTTTTTTATCCAATCTGATATCCTGTGTCTTTTGGTTGGAGCACTCAGCCCATTTATGTTCAGAGTAACTATTGAAAGATATGAATTTAGTGCCATTGTATTGCCTATAAAGTCCCTCTTTCTGTACATTGTCTCTGTTATCTTCTGGTCTATGTTACTCTTGGGATCTCTCTTTGCTTACAGTATCCCCCTTAATATTTCTTGCAGGGCTGGCTTGGTGGTCACATATTCTATCATTTTCTGTCTATCCTGGAAGTTCTTTATCTCTCCTGTTTTGAATGACAACCTTGCTGGATAAAGTATTCTTGGCTGCGTGTTCTTCTCATTTAGTACCCTGAATATATCTTGCCAGCGCTTTCTGGCCTGCCAGGTCTCTGTGGACAGGTCTGATGTTATTCTTTTTTTTTTTTTTAAGATTTTATTTATTTATTTATTTATTTATTTATTTATTTATTTATTTATTGGCCAGAGAGAGCACAAGCAGGGAGAGCAGCAGGCAGAGGGAGAAGCAGACTCCCCCTGAGCAGGGAGCCCGATGAGGGACTCAATCCCAGGACCCCAGGATCATGACCTGAGCTGAAGGCAGACGCTTAACCAACTGAGCCACCCAGGCATCCCGAGGTCTGATGTTATTCTGATGTTCCTCCCTCCATACATAAGAAACCTCCTCTCCCTAGCTGCTCTCAGGATAGCTTCTTTGGCTCTAAGATTTGCAAGCTTCACTATTATACATCGGGTGTTGATCTATTTTTTATCGATTTTGGGAGGGGTCCTCTCTGCCTTTTAGACATGGATGTTTTCTTCCCCAGATTAAGGAAGTTCTCAGCCATGATTTGCTCAACTATACCTTCTAGCCCTC